CCCATACCGTCTGCTGCTATCCCTCTTCATGACTATAGTAAAGGTCAGGGAGTTGTGATCATTATCACAGAAATGCTCTCCCACCGAGAGATCTGACACCTGGCCTGGTTCGTTGCCAAGCACCAAATCCAATATAGCCTCCCCTCTAGTCGGTCTTTCTACAGCTTGAGTTAGAAATTCTTCCTGGACACACCTGACAAAATCTGCTCCATCCAAACTATTTGCACTAAGGAGGTTCCAGTCTATATTAGGGAAGTTGAAGTTGCCCACGACAACAATCCTATTACTTCTGCACCTTTGCAAAATCTGCCTCCCAATCTGTTTCTCAGTGTCTCTGTTGCTATTGGGGGGTCTATAGAAAACTCGCAATAAAGTGACTGCTCCTTTCCTGTTTCTGACTTCCACCTGTACTGACTCAGGAGACAAACCCTCCTCCGCCACCTCCCTTTCTGCAGCTGTGATACCATCCCTGATTAGCAATGCCACTCCCCCAACTCTTTTACCTCCCTCCCTATTTCTTTTGAAACATCTATATCCCAGAACATCCAACAACCATTCCTGCCCCTGTATTATCCAAGTCTCTAATGGCCACAACATCGTAGTTCCAAGTACTGATCCATGCCCTAAGATCGTCGCCCTTATTCCTGACACTTCTTGCATTGAAGTAGACACACCTCAACCCGTCACACTGACTGCCACTTTGCCCTATCAACTGCTTATCCTTCCTCACGGACTCTCTGCTTGCTCTATCTGTCTGTACACCGGCTACCCCATCCTCTGACCTGTAGCTCCGATTCCCATCCCCCTGCCAAACTAATTTAAACCCTCCTGAAGAGTTCTAGCAAACCTCCCTCCCAGGATATTGGTGCCCCTCCAGTTCAGGGGGAACCCGTCCTTCCTGTACAGGTCCCACCTTCCCCAGAAGGTATTCCAATGATCCACAAACCTGAAGCCCTCACTCCTACACCAGCTCTGTAGCCACGTGTTCGGCTGCACTCGCTCTCTGTTTCTGGCTTCACTAGACCGTAGCACCGGTAGTAATCCTGAGTTTACTACTCTGCTCCCCCTGTCTTTTAGCTTCCATCTTAACTTCCTATATTCACTTTTCAGGTCCTCATCTCGTTTCCTAGCTATGTCATTGGTACCGACGTGTATCACGACTTCTGGCTGCTCTCCCTCCCCCTTAAGAATCCTGAAGACTTTATCCGAGACATCCCTGACTCTGGCACCTGGGAGGCAACATACCATCTGGGAGTCTTGTTCACAACCACAGAATCTCCTGTCTGTTCCCGTAACCAGTGAATCTCCTCTGACTATCACTCTCCTATTCTCCCCTCTTCCCTTCTGAGCCACAGAGCCAGGCTCAATGCCAGAGACCTGGCCGCTATGGCTTTCCCCTGGTAGGTCGTCCCCCCAACAGTATCCAAAACGGTATTCTTATTATTGAGGGGAACGACCACAGGGGATCCCTGCACTAACTGCCTATTCCCTTTCCACCTCCTGACAGTCACCCAGCTATCTTTGTCCTGTACCTTGGGTGTTCCTCTCTATCACTCCCTCAGTCTCCCGAATGATCCAGAGTTCATCCAGCTCCAGCTCCAGTTCCCTAACGCAGTTTTTGAGGAGCTGGAGTTGGGCACACTTCTTGCAGGTGAAGTCAGAAGGGACACTAGTAGCAACCCTTACCTCCCACATCCTACAAGAGGAACATGCAACTGCCGTAGCTTCCATTCCATCTACTCTAGCTTGCTAAAAGAATAAAGAAAAAAAAATCTTACCTTACCAACCCTCTGCACAGTCTTTTTTTTTTTTGGTTAGAGAAGGAGGATGGATGGGAGACACTACACGTGTAGTGTTTCAGGTTTAGACGATGCCCAAATATAATAGTTCACTTCCCGCCTCGCGCTCTCACCACTCCCGCCGCTGAAAGCAAGTTAAGGTGGTCATGTACTCATCCAAGGTCCAGGATCACCAGATGACACAGGCCGCTGGTGAGTCCTGACAGGGATTACAGTGGGGAAAGAGTGGTTGGCAGTAAAGTGGGGAGTGGCGCTCAGAACAAACCCCTCTTCCCAATTCCCACATGGTCTGCTTTTTTGAGTTTCTTGCACAGTGAATCCCTCACCTGCCATTAGATGAATATTTAGTTGAAAGCTGTCCATACCACAGAGTTATTTAAGATAAGGGCACAACGTCACTGATCTGTGGCCTAACTAAAATCCTGACAGCCCACCTCCAGGCTAACCATAGCAGGAGAGTTACATTTTACATTATTTGTTTTGCAGGATTTTGCAATTTTGGTTGAATTACAAAAACAGGATTGAGGATCTTTCCTGTAATACTTCACACCAGGGTAATTCCTGGAGTTCATTCAATAGTTTTTTGAGAGGATGAGAATATTCTTTTCTTTAAGTATTTTGATTGACTCTTCAGTCCAGATTCTGGTCTATTCACGAAACACTGAAAAGAGATATTTGGTTTCTGCGCAATAAGAGTGTGAAATTGACTGTGCACCCATCAAATTAATACTACGACTGAGAGGTCCAAATCACTTCCAGGCTTGAGCCTCATGGATATTTTGAGGAGCAGAAATGCCGAATGAACAAGCAATTGTAGTCTGATTTACTTGGGGAGGAAAATTGACCAGTAACCCCAGTGAGTACCTCTCTATAGGGGAGAGGGTGTAGGAGGGTATGGAACGGAATGAAATAGAGTAACCCCACCCTTTAAGGTCTGCTGGTTAAGTCTTTCAGGAGCTTGAGAAGTGGTGACATTGACTGTACAGTCATACCTGGACAATGGCTTTGCAGTGATGTTGGTATTACTCCATGTAATATTTTTAATAGTATAGTGCTGACTAGATGATGGTATAGAGTGTCAAATACAATGATGATGATGCTGGCTCTCTGTTCTCCTGTTTCTCTAAAACATTACTTGTCATTCTATTTCTGACAGTATAACAGAGGAGGACAATGATAGTATCTGCTGTTACACCTTTGATACCTTACAAACAGAAACAGATGGTACGTTTGTATTTTGACTAATTATCCAATTAGTGAAGCTCAGATTAAAAATGCCATGCATTTATAATAGATTTGTGCAATCCATTTTGGAATTGGAGTCGTAGTACTTGATCTACACGTTCAGGGTGAACGGATGTTATATTGCAGTTATATATAATTTTGGTTACATTACATTTAGTTCTGGGTGGAAAGGAATTGAAGCAAATGCAGTGCAGATTCATCAGAATCAGGCCTGGATGCAAGGGTTGAATTATGAGAAAAGGTTATTTTGACTCAACTTGTATTTCTTTTGAGTATCAAAAAACAAAGATGATCTAATTGAGGCATTTAGGATGATTAAAGCAATTGATAGGTTTGATAGAAGATTCCTGTAAAGGGGAATGTAACTTTGGAGCTAGACCACCTGAGCATGATATCAAAATGCACTTATTTTACACAAAAGGCATGGGAAATGGGCCTATGGAAATTTTCAAATTTGAACTTTTAGATTTTTATTAAACAAAATTATTAAAAGCAATGAAACCGATAGACAGACAGAGTCAAGATGCTAATCATCTGTGATCTGATCCAATGGTGGAATAGGCTGGAGGGTCTAAAGTCGTCTCCTCTAGTTTCTATGTTTCTAACGTCAGCTCAACTCTGCAATATTGACAAGCTATTCATTAATGTTAATGTTGTGAACCAGATGAATATCAGGACAGGATCTCTCATGGACCACCATCCATTCACTCATCATCATCATCACATCAGTCTGAAGCTTTAGATTCATGTGAATTAGACCATATGGACTCCATATTCAGAAAATTCTCTTTGGAAAGGTATGAGTAAATAAATTAAGAATTCTAATATGTGTTCTGAACACAGCTACTCAACATGGCAATGCTGCACTTTGAATATAGAGATATTTGTTTTCTCACCATTTTTCCTGCATATTTATGCATTGTGCATTCGTTGGAGCTGTAGCCAATGCCTATGCATGTAAGAAATACATTCCAAGTCACAATTTTATGGAATGAGGCATTTCACTTCGTGACCTGTTAATTAAATTGTTTTATACATTTCAAATCTTTCTGCATAACTTGCTAGAAATATGAGATAATAACGCAGCAAAGGCTCTGAGGCCCCTGGGATGAAATATCTCTTTAATGAGACTCGAGAAAGAATGAGAGGAACAATAGACAAGAAGAATGAATTAGTCAAATTAGGTACAAAAGAGAAAATAAACAGAAAGGATAAAACCATTTAAAGTTTGAATGTTGGCATTTTAAAAATCACCAAAGGCCCCTTACCTGCTGAGCAAATGAGACTCCGCAGTTTAAATGTTCAGTTCAGTGCCAGGATGGGTAATTGGAGCCAGTCAATGATTATTGTTCATTACTGAACTTATGGTAAGAAGTCAATATGTGCAAATCCAGCAATTTCTTAAAAAGCTTGGGGAATGAAGGTTGGGATGCCATTTTGCAAAGCAAGGCATTTCCACTCCCTCCGCTGGCGTTTTACCAGTAACGGGGTAAGTGTGAGACGGCCCTCCACTCTTAGACCAACTGAGACCCTTGAATATTCAGTTAAGAGCCACTTTCCCTCTGCCTGCCACCACTGGCATTTTCCCAGCAACAGGACTGTGGTATTGAGAGGACTTTTTTGATTGGGCTTTCCACTCCTCCCTGCCCCAACCCCTCAGCTCCGCACAGATGCCGCACTCTTCTGACCTTAGAAATGACAACCACGTGCCTTATAGGGGATTGTCTGAGTTAACCTAGCAAATTGACCTCATTTACCTGTGTCCTGGAGTGTCTTCTGTTGCTGATGGTCAATCTCTTGTTGCAGTCCCAACAGTGGCCACTGTTCCCAGGTGATCTAAAGCTCTCACCCAATCAGTCAGCAGCTCATACGGGAGCTGATAGTCTCTTCAATAAATGGGATCCCTGACAGTTAGGCAGTTAATTGCTCGGTACATGTAAAATTGGGTCAGAGCTCCCATAAACAGCCAAGGTAGGGCTGCTATTAAATTTCTGCACAGTGGATAAGGTCACCACTGCTGTGTAATACCCTTGCTTCTGTGTGGCAATGTTAGGCATTGCAGTAAATGAACAATACATTGCTCTATACAGCAACCTTTGGGTGAGGCAGTAAATCATCAGTTGAATGCCAACGTTCACAAGACAGTATGTGAAAGAAAATCGGAAGAGGAGTCAAACAGATTGTCGATTTGCTATCACACATTTTTTCTCTAGCAAGGAAAGTCTATGAATTTTAATGGGAAGCGGCAATAGAGATTGTAATTTTACTCAATCATAAGCTGTTCTATATACCCTTATCACATTTGTATTAGTTAGCAGGCTCATAGATGAGAAACTTGGAGAAATACTGAACATTTTGGCTACATTTCAAATCATAGAATGGTTACAGCTCACAATGAGGCCATTCAACCTATTTGCAGGAACAATTCAACTAGTTCCATTCCCATACCTTTCCCTGAAAGCTTGCAGTTCCTTTCTCTCAGGTCCTGGGCCAAATGCCTTTGAATGTTGTGAATAAATCTGTCTCTACCATGCTGTCGGTGCAATCAGATCCTTACTACTCACTGACTAAACAGGTTTTTCCTCATGTTTTTTGCTCCTTTTGTCAAATGCTTTAAACCAATGTCCCCTAGTTTTTGATCATTCTGCCGATGGCAATTTCTTTCCATCGACTCGATATGAAGCCATCATCATCATGAAGACAGCTATGCAACACTCTAATAAATACAAGTGATTAGCGCCCTGATTTTTTTTTCTATTTTTGTTTTCTATTTCTGTCTAGACCTTTTCGTCCATCTGTGACCTCTGCCACTCAGATCAGTAACCCTTTGAAACATATGCTGCACACAACACTCAGTGGGGACAACCTGGTTACTGAAATCTCTGTTCTCGGTGGAAATGAAAGAGGCCTTTTCATTCAATCAGTACAGTCCGGTTCTGCTGCAGAGAAGGCAGGGCTGAAGGAAGGACACCAACTGATTTTGGTAAGAGGTGTCATGCTGAGCCATCTAGGAAAAGGCAAGATTTGATAATTGCTGCTCAATGTTGTTTCAGTGGCTGATATAGGAAAAGGAAATTGACTGATATAAATGCTAAATGGAAAATACGAGTGCATTTTGAAAACTATATAGATAATCAAGTGTCTGCCTGATTGAAAACCCGAGAAGCAATCTAAGATCTCTGATAAAGTGTAAGTGGTTATTGTCATACTGTTGCATCCTTATTGATAGGTACACGATGATGTGGGATTGATTGTAAACAGTCTGGTAAGAGATACAAATCACTGACCATTTTACAAGCAAATGTAAATTGAAATAAGTTATTTCTATGACAAAAAAAACTGACAATGCTGCGATTTGTGTGATGAACAGAGGAGATTTTCTTAAGCAGATGCAGTTCCGAAGTTGGAATCTTCAAACTTTGTCCATATTAGAACACTGAAGTGCCAGCTTGGTTTGTAGTATGTACATTTGTAGAGCCACAGTTTTTTCATCCAAGAATTTGAGTACCTGTTCTTGGCTGACACTTCAGCAGAGTGCTAAAGGAATGCTGCATTGCAAAAGGTGCTGTCCTTTGAATGTGAGAGTACAGGAGTCTTTCCATGTTTTTTAAAGGAGCAAGTACTTGTCAGGGCAACCAAGTCAACATTTAACCCTCAAGCAATAATATCTCACTTCTCTACTTATGTGAACTTGATGTGCACCAACAGAGACAAAATTTTAAAAATACGGGAATGTCTTGGGGACATTGTAAGGATGTGAAAGATACTAAGCAAATGGAAATTTTACTTTGCATGATAAGGAAGGCATTTCAATGCTGAATCCTTGCAAGCCTCAGAAAAGTTTATTCAGTTTTGGCTTTTAATCAGTTTTTGATATTGTGTCTAGCTCATTATTGTTTCTTCACTATGGCAAAAGAAATACAGGGAGAAATGAGAAGAATTTATTTCATACATCGTCTTGTTAAGGTCTGGAATAAGCTGCCAGAAAAGGTGAAAGCAGATGCAACAATATCAGGATGGAAATGAATTTATTCTTGAAAAGGGAAATTTGCCAGGCTATAGATAAATAGCAGGGAAGTCAAACTAATTGAATAGTTCTTCTAAAGAGTCAACACAATGCAGTGAATAGCCTCCTCCTCTGCTGTCTGATTTTGTCATTCTGTATTATCCTCCCAGTGCATTGAAAAAGGGGACTATGAAATAGCCAATCTAGTTAATTTCAATAGTTTATCCTCCTTTTCAGTTGTACAAAGGAAATATATATGACAGGAAGACCCATTGGATAGGTCCTGAACTTCATAAAGTGTTAGACTCTATTTTATCTCTCGTACCCCTCCAATGCTATTGCTGATCCCGCTTGCCACCAATGTGCCAACAGTATCTTTATTCACTGCATTCATGAGTAAACTGCTTCACGTCCACCAGTTAAATAGAATAGTATGTACAACAAAGAAACAGGTTATCAGCCCAACTCTCCCACACCAGTTTTTATGCTCTGCACAAGTCACCTCCCACACCCATCACCTACAACATAATCTACCTGTCCTCCCTCTTATGTTTATCTAACTTCACCTATTTACATTTATGCTATTTGCCTCAATCACTCCATGTGATAATAAGTTTCACATTATGATGGTGTTCTGAATAATGGGTTTTCTCCTGAATTTCATATCGAGATTGTTTATTACTCTTTTCTATTTATAGCCCTTAATTTTGGACTCCCTATTTTCCCTACAAAGGATATGAGATTCATCGGTTTGTTGACTTTCTTCTTTCTAAAGTTGAGATTGTATTGTTGCAGAGTTTGCGATTAGGTCAGTTATGGCCATTGCATTTAGTTAATTACTACCTTTTAAAATTCCGAACATACCAATTAGATTATCTAAAGTCCTTCCTTCAGTGTAAATATTGGTATTTCAGCAATGGTGTTATATAATATGTAAAGTTATCTGTAGCTCACTTTTAGAATTATCAAGTGGAAGGGAATTAACCTTTAACAAAAGTCCTTAATCATTTAGGAACTTATAAAGCAGCCTTAATTAATCTTGAGTGACAGCTTATAAGATGGGAAAGGTGATATGCTTTATTTTATTCTGTTGCTGAATATTTATTCTGTGGAATTAAACTTCTATTTCAAAGCAGTCTTAATATACAACTTGCTAGTCTTGAGAAGCAAAGACCCCATGGGATATAATTGCAATTGTTCCTTATTATTTATGCCATAGCAATTGTAGATCAAATTGTCTTTGCAGACATTGGTGAAGAAGGTGTATAGCACACTTGCCTTCATTGGTCAGAGCATAGAGTATAGGAATTGGGATATCATGTTGTGGCTGTACAGGACATTGGTTAGGTTACTTCTGGAATACTGTGTTCAATTCTGGTCACCCTTCTGTAGGAAGGATTTTGTTAAACTTGAGAGGGTGCAGAAAATATTTACAAGGATGTTGCCAGTGTTGGAGGGTTTGAGCTATTGGAAGAGGCCGAATCGGCTGGGGCTGTTTTCCCTGGAGTGTTGGAGGCTGAGGGGTGACCTTATAGAAGTTTATAAAATTGTGAGGGGCATGGATAGGGTAAATAGCCAAGGTTATCTTCCCAGGGTGGGGGCATCGGTTTAAGGTGAGAGGGGAAAAAATTTAGAAGGGGCCTGAGGGGTAACTTTTTTAGAGGGTGGTGTGTATATGCAACAAGCTGCCAGAGGAAGTGGTGGAGGCTGGTACAATTACAACATTTAACAGGCATCTGGATGGGTATATGAATAGGAAGGGTTTAGAGGGATATGGGCCAAATGCTGGTAAATGGGACTAGCTGACATTGAGATATCTGGTTGACATGGGCGAGTTGGACCGAAGGGTCTGTTTCCGTGCTGTGTGACTCTGTGACACGTGTGGATCTTTTTAAATATAAGAAGAACAGCTAATGTTGTCAGATTTTCTTGAGAGGTAGGCTAAAAATTGATTCTGGTCCATTTTCAGGTGCAGGGTTTACAGTTCATGAACTGTCCATGCCTACTGCCTTTGAGAGAGGCTGTGCACAAACTTGATACTGCCTCCTCACTTACCTAACTGTAGTGTTCTTGTTATAACTAGTGGAGCCTGATAGCTGACTGCTTGAGCATTCATAAGGGAGCCAAGCAGCATATATGGATGGCATTAAGCTCAGGCAACCTATTTTTCTTAAAAACGAACTGCGTTCAACAGAGAGAGCTGTTGCAGCTGACTGTCTGGACTGTCACTGGCTGCATGATGAGGACACCAGGAAAGAGAGAAGGCTTAGATCCATAGCAACATAACAGCACAGGAAGAGGCCATTCAGCCCATTGCATCTGTGCTAGCTGAGTAAACTAGCCGCCCATTCTAATCGCACATTACAGCAACTGATCATAACCTTCTCTGTAACAGCACTTCAGATCCAAGTTCCTTTTTGAATGAGTTGAGGGTTTTTGCCTCAAACACCAAACTGGGCAGCGAATTCCAGACACCAACTTGTTCTGGATGAAAAAGGTTTTTCCTCATGTTCTTTCTAATCCTTCTACCAGTTACCTTCAGTCTGTTTCCTCCGCCCCCGCCCCCGCCCCCGTAATTGACCACTCTCCGGAGGGAAACAGGTACAGCTATCCAATCTGTCCAGGCGCCTCATAATTTTTTTTATACCTCAATTAATTCACTCCTTAGTCAACTGTGCTGTAAGGAATTCAACCCTGGCCTATGCAAACTGTCCTCATTGCTGTAATTTTCAAGCTCTGGCAACATGCTTGCAAATCTCCTGTACCGCACTTGTGCTGTTCTTGTAACGTGGTGACCAGAAAATTCCAACTATGGCCTAATCAATGTCTTTTAGAATTTCAGCATTACATCCTTGCTCTTGTCCTCACTACCTCACCCAAAGAAGGAAAGCATCCCAAATGGCTTTTTTAATATCTTATCCACCTGTCCTGCCATCTTCAAGGACCTGTGTACATGCATTTCAAGGCTTCTCATTTCTTCTACCCCTCTCAATTCCCTTCTGCTTTTTGTGTGCTCCCTTGCTTTGTTTGTTCTCCCAAATGCATAACTTTGCACTTCTTTGGATTGAATTCCATTTGCCTCTTCCTCCTACTCAACCAAAGCAGTAATATTTTGCTGCAGTGCACAGCCATCCTCTTCAGTATTAACCACCTAGCCAATTTTTGTGTTGTTTGCAAATTTCTCAATCATGACTCCCACATTTAAGTCTATATCATTAATAAATACCATAATCAACAAGGTATTCAAAACTGTGCCCTGTCAAATGCCTTACTAAAATCCATGTAAACACATCAACTGCACTACACACACAAACCCTTGTCATTACTTTCTCCAAAGAATTCAATTGTTAATGAAACATGACCTTGCCTTAACAAAACCGTGCTGACTATCCCTGATTAATTAGTCCCTTTCCAAGAAACGATGCTATCCATCAATATTGATTCCAGTAATTTTCCCTCCACCATGGACTGGCTGACCAGCCTAGAATTTTTTGGCTTCCCCCTTGCACCCCTTTTTGCATCAGGGCATGATGTTGGCTGACCTCCAGGCCTCATGTACCTTGCCTGTATCTAGAGAGGCTTGGAAAATGTTCCTCAGATCATCTGCTATTTCCTCCCTGCCTTCCTTCAGCAGTCTGACGAAGGGTCACTCGACCCGAAATGTTAACTGATTTTTTTTCTTGACAGATGCTGCCAGACCTGCTGAGCTCTTCCGGCAATTTATGTTTTTGTTCCTAATTTACAGCATCTGCAGTTCTTTCAATTTTTATTTAGTGCTAGGACTTAGAGCTTTCAAGACTAAAACCAAAATATACTTGTTAAGTAAGGATATCAATTTGTTTCCCAACCACCTGAACATACAGACAGCCGGAGTTTAGGGAGCCAGAGATGATAAATCGTGTACAAACATATTTCATATAAAATCTTAAGTAGCCATCAAAAAAATGACATGTATCTCCTCTCCCTGGCTTGAATTTTAAATGTGGCACCATGTGCAAAAAACAATATGTTTTGATGATGTAAGTGAGTATTTTTCTCGTATGGGTTAACATAAAATCTTTCCTTCTCTTTGAAGCTAGAAGGATGCATCAGGGGAGAAGCTCAAAGTGTTGCCTTGGAAGCATCTACTAAAGAAGAAGCACATTGGACATTACAACGCTGCAATGGACCAGTGACACTCCACTTTAAAGCAAACTTTGACGGTGAGATAAGAGCAGTTAGGCTGTAGGAATTGATGGCTAATTAATCAGGTTTCAGAATCAGAAATTGAAAGATGAGAGAAACAGCAGCTATCTTACTGCTCCCTTTAAAATTTCCTTGTTGCACATGGCCAGTTTATTTAATATGCAGTACCATTAAACTTGTTTGCTCAAGTTGAATTTAACACAAAACAGGGAGAGTTTTTTTTCCCATTGAAACTTAATTGTCCATGAAGAGGTGCTGATAAAAACACTTCTCGAGAATCTCTCAAATGGTGTCCATACCGCAATCAAAAAAAAGTTTTACCACAATTTTCCTGTACTTAACAGGTCTTAATTTCAAGTACAGTTTGGAACACACTGAGACCTGTCCTCTCATTCATAAAATTCCTAATATCTAAATACTCTAACTTTTCTGAAGGGACCGTTTGTAGCAAAATACATATTTCATTCGCCATAGAGCACAGGATTTGAAGTTTGAACCTTGCTACCTTTCTAGGCTAGACATTGATTTTTCCATAAAGCAGAGAAAACAATCCAGAAAACAGTGGAATTGAGGCCTAGATTTTAATCTTGAATTAGTTTTTTGTGGAAGAATGGTATTGAGCTAACCTTCTGAAACTTGAAAGAGCCGGATCTGGATTTGTGTATCAGGCCCAGGAAACATGAGACTTAATGCAGTTCATGACTGCATGAACCCAAACAAGATTTAGAGCTGTCTTCTCCCCAAGCAGGCTTGAGGCAGTGAAAGTGGCTACCAAGATTGGCAGTTTAGATGGCCCCTTGATTCTCAGGGATTCTTCACATTATTCTTGTGATGGTTTGTTCTCCCATTTCTGCCTCATTTTTCCTATACCCAATGTGTCTATTCATGCACCATGACTGTGCCGTGCCACCCATGTTCCCCCATGCACCCTCATACTCCGTGTATTCTCCATTTCCCTTCATATCATCTGTACGCATTCACACCTCCATGCCATCTCTGTCAGCCCTCCCTCCCCACCCCTACTCCCCAATATGTACTCCATTGTCATCACTGTCCAAAATGGACAGGTCTCAAGACAATGAAATATTGATGGTCTTCGAAATGATCCATTTAAAAAAAAGCATCTACTAATGTTCTAAAGCTGTCACTCAAACACACTGCCATTTATACTGCAGAGAAAAAAACTCACACTTGTGAAAGAAAGTTAAATCCCCTCAAGTGGTCATTAAATTGTAAAATAAAGTATCTATTCAGAAATTGCATTAAAGGCAGATAATCTTAATAGCTTCTTAAACTGTCAGTCAAATTGTGTACATAATTCATAACAGTTTCAGCTGTAAAACAAACCATTAGAGTTCAGACAACAGTCTTTGTAATTGAAAGAACAGTTTTCTCCCCCACACTATAGCAGATGGTATGTCACTCCATGAATTCAAGGACACAAGTTTTATTTGCCTAAGTGAAAGTAGTTAGCTACATTTTCCAAAATTTTAAGTACTGTAGATTCTTAAATAATTTCAGATTAATACACAAGGGTTCCCAAGCACTCTTTTCTATGGTTTGAATGCGCAAGTAGCACTTTTCCCTCTTAAAAAATGGGGAAAAATGCTCTAATAGATCTCAATTCTGATCAATGTAATAGTCAACGTCTCTTCCCAGGATCAAGCCCTATGATAAATTACTGCAGTCCAAACACATCTAACTTCTAAGTTTAACTGAAAGTGAGTAGGTGGGTCCAAAGCAGGTAAAGTTCCCATTTCAGATTTCATGCATTTTAACTTTTTGCATGACCTTAACTCACCTGATTACAGATTTAAAATTCAGCCCCAGTAGTCAACAATGATGCTATCTACTAGGGACATCGTTGAATTTTTTTTTCAAGGAGCTAACCATCCTCCTCTTAGTTTCTGTTCATCAGTGAAATTCCCAATGAAGTAGCACATTTTGCAGATGTCACATGAATAATGGAACATAGTACATTGTTTTAGACTCCTGGTTGAGCTAGAAATCCCAGAGGTGGCCAGGGTAATATGTCATTTTTGAAAAACAATCTATCTGGAATAAACGGCCAGCATTCAATGTGAACAAGGATACTGTATAAATGGTCATATAAGGTTTGAGAATCCGACAGACTAAATAGATAGTGCTAACGTTGAAATTCTCTATATTCAGTTATAAATTCTCTTGGCAGCCAATTTTGATCAGCTTCGAAGGTTCTGGCTTGACGTGCTTTTCACTGAGCACTTGTTCTTTATTATTTGTAAGCTTTGAGCCTGAGGAAGAAAAATCAAATTTTATTCATGAGTGTTGTGAAAATACTACAGCAAGTTTTGCCTGCGCACTCAAGTGTAGATACAATTTTAAATTTATTAACCTGCAAACCACAATGAATAAAGTTTTAGTTGCTGGTTAAGGTGTGAAAATCCTTATTAAAGACTGTATATTGAATTTGATAATGTACACTGAAGCATGAAAATGTTTCTCAAAGGTGAATTGTGGTCATGCTTTCTGCAGGGAAAACAAGCTGCCCTACAAACCAGGAATTGAATGCACTGTGTTCTTTTCAGGCTTTCAGCAGTTAAATTGGAATGAGTCAGAATGATGTGATCTCCAGTAGAAACTTTTGCAATGTCAGTGCTCTTTTGAAATAAAACAGAACCAGTAGTGCGTATTTTTTTTTATCTACTTCAAAACGAACCCTTCAAATTTTAGATTAAGAAAACTGGACTTCATGGAAGACTTAGAATTCCCTTGCACTGAGGCAGCAATCGAAGGAAAACTATTTCTTAGACTTAATTTTCCAGTTGAAATGCTTTATGATAAAGTTGGGATGTGTGCAACAGCATGGAACAATGAACTATCACATTTGCAATTCACTACATGGAGACGTTATCCATTTTTTTGACCATCCTGTAAGTGGAAGTGAGTGCTTTGTAGAAGTAGGGATCGGGGAAAACTCCATGAGATTGCCATTCCATGGTGCTCTTGCCTGCCCTCTAGCTATTAAACTCCATTGACAAACACAGACAGCAAGACCAATCTCCTCTCTTCCTGGGGCACAATGCATATTCATGGTGAGTGGAGGAGAATACAGGAATAATTATTTAAACTCATAACAGTTAGCTACCGAGAGAGCCACTATTGACAGGCAGCAAGAGGTTTAGAATATAGTGACTGTGAGTTTTTCCATTGCATTATGTTGTGATCTATGTTTTGTTTCAAGGTTACAAGAAACTACAAAAAGATTTGGAAGATGGTATTATCACATCTGGGGATTCCTTTTACGTTCGAACCAATTTGAATATTTCTGGGCAGACAGACAGCTGCTCGATGTGTGTGAAGTGCGACGAGATTATCCATGTTTTAGACACTATGTACCAGGGCAAGTGTGAATGGCTGTGCGCTCGAGTCGATCTGTTCACTGACAAAGACTTGGAGAAAGGCACGATTCCCAGCTACTGCAGGTAATTGGATTCTGGGTTCAATTGATTAGTTTTTTATAAAAAGGATATTTCAACTCAAATAATTCACTGGACAATAGTGACCATGCCAAGCTGTCTCACCTTGTCCAGAGCAGTAGAAGCTGAAGGCACAGGCTATACTTGATGGGGAGGAAGTGGGGGAGGAGGGAGGTGATGTTAATTCATAACTAGCTGCTGAAGGAAAGTTGTTAGTCTATGGAACACACACTCACTAAGGAGATGACAGAAGCAGATAATGTTGATTCATTGAAGTGCAAATCAAATTTCTTTTAGCAAATAACATTTAAGTGTACAGTAGATGAGTAATTTGTGAGTGACATATGGTAAGTGGTAGCATCTTTTGGAGGAGCAAGGTGACTTTGGATTGATGATTCCTAAAGCTTTCAACCACTGGGAATTTTCTCATATCATATCTGGGTCAGAAAATTAGAGAAAAATTCCTCTTATCATTACATCCTGTGGCTACCAATACAGTGGAAGTCAAATTAGAGGGTCCTTGATCATTTTATTTTCAATTCCTATACACTCTTATTTAGTTAAAAGGGAGGTGAAGAGCACATAGAATGTTGTGTTGTTCAGTGATACAATACTACTTGTGCTCCAGGTATTATGGTGATGAATCAATTGGTAAATGCTTTGAAAAACATTTTCTAGCCAACCTGTTCAGAAATGTTATTATGCACCTGCGGAGCAGGTGGGACTTGAACCCAGGCCTCCTGCTTTAGAGGCAGGGACCCTATCACTGCACCACAAGAGTGCTTTGGTAAATGCCTTGATTTTTAAAAAAAAAACAACTTATTTTACTAATCAACCTGTTCACATTGATATTACACCTCTGGAGCAGGTGGGACTTGAACCTAGGCATCCCACTTGATTGGCACTACACCCACAAGCATTCACTCCCTCCAGCACCGATGCTCAGTAGCAGCAGTGTGTACTATCTACAAGATGCACTGCAGAAATTCACCAAAGATCCTCAGACAGCATGCTCCCAACCCACAACCACTTCCATCTAGAAGGACAAGGGCAGCACATACATAGGACAACCACGACATGCAAGTTCCCCTCCAAGCCACTCAGCATCCTAACTTGGAAATATATCACCCTTCCTTCACTGTCGCTGGGTCAAAATCCTGGAATTCCCTCCATAGCAGCATTGTAGGTCAACCCACAGCAGGACTGCAGTGGTTCAAGAAGGCAGCTCACCACCACCTTCTCAAGGGCAACTAGGGATGGACAAGAAATGCTGGCCAGCCAGCGATGCCCACATCTCACAAAGTGAATAACTTAAAAACAAAATCTTGGTTCAGAGGTAGGGATGCCACCATTGTGCCACAAGCATCCTTTGCTAAATGCTTTGACCTATTTTTCTAACCAACTTGTTCAGAGATGTTATTACACACCTCTGGAGCAAGTGGGACTTGAACACAGGACTGCCAGTCGAGGGTTAGGGAGGTAAATGCCTTGAATCCTATAGATCTGAACCATTCCAGGTATCACTCTGATAAGTGAGCTGATCTTAATTGGAATTAAGGACTTTAAAAACAGCAGGACAAGTGGGGCAAGTGCCTTGGTAATAATGGAATATACAGCATGCTATAAAATATGGATACACTGTTGTGCAGTGTCGTCAGTGGAGCTATACAAGCAGCATGAAATTGGGTGCCAAACATGCTGCTTATTGCAATTATAGTAGAAAAATGGCAGCTAATTTTTACATATGAATATCCCACAAAAAAATGAACAAGATAAATAACCATCTGCTCTGTTGTTTGAGGGTTAAATATTGACCAGGACAACATGAGAATGCACCTATTCTCCTTTGGACAGTGCAATTGGACATTTTCATTTACCTACAAGAGCAGGAAGGGGCTGATTTTAATACTGCATTTGAAAGTATTGTATTGAAATGTAAGACTAAATTATGTGCTCCGATCTTTAGAGTGGGGTTGTACCCATAGCTTCATGACTACGTGATGAGAATATTATCACTGAGCCATGGCTGATGCTTAATAGCATTTTATTGCTCCTACACTTGGCATGTAGTCAAAATGTATAATGCACAATAGGCTCATAAGATATAAATGTGATCTCTTCAAAATCCAATTTCTAAAATTCCTGCAAAAGTCAGATAGTGCTAAGTTCCCAGTTACTTCCTCCGTCGCTTGAAGTCAATCTGTCAACTGCTACAACATGCAAAACACATCACCTTCGTAAAAGTCACCAATAAAGACCTTTGGGTAAAGGTCATGTAGAAAAGAATCAAACAATCAGAATACAGTGGTTCAGCACACCACAATAACAATAGATTTGGATTGGTTAATGAAAACTGCAGAGCCCAGTTGCCTCAACATCAAAGTGATAAACGTAGAGATGGGGATGATGTAGCACAGCGTGAGGCCATTCGGCCCATCATTGTGTCTCAATTCTTTAAACAAACAATCCATTTGTGGTCGGCTGCTATTGTTCCTTGGTTCTGCAGATGTTTCCTTTTTAAGTGTATATTTTCTGTTGAAAACAAAGAAATGATACATTAAGCAAAAAGTCACACTGAAATAAAACAATCTACAATAGGTAAACTAATTTTATTTTGTGGCATTAGTTACCTCCCTACCTATTTCAATTTTTTTTTCAGAATACTGCAGTATTAAAAATGAATCCAGCACCATCTAGAGGAAGAGCAAAGTAGGACAGCAATAAGAAAGGGAAAACTGATTAAATATCTTTCCATTTACCTCCACATCCCCATCTGTGTCAAAAGGTTGTGGAGCTCGACAACAGTAACCTAGAAAATTAGCCTAAACAAATCATAAAATGGCTGTGTTCATACTGACTAAACATTAATTTAGGTATCAGTGTTTTTTATTAATCAATGCACAATTTAATGAGAGTTGTGATGTCTGGTATTTTTCTGGCAAATGGGTGAGACAAAGAATAGAGATGCTCACCAGTGTTATCAGGAAAGCTGGCATGTCTATTTTTTTTCTCGTGCATTCTGTTTTATATTCATACCAGTATTTATTTCTGACGAAGTGGCACATGGAGATTATTTCTGGAATATTGAATGATACGGCACAAAAGGAAGCCATTCAGTCCATGTCTGTGTCAGCTCTTTGAGTGAATTATCTAATTAGTCCCACTTCTCCCTGTTCTTTTTCCACAGCCTTACTTTTTTTTCATTGCAAATATTTATGCAGCTCCCTTTTTAAAGTTACTGTTGCATCTACCTGCGTTCTCCCCTCAGACACGGTATTCTAGATCAAAATTCATTGAGGAAACAAACACTTCCCTCATGTCCTGTCTGGTATTTCTGCCTTTAGTCAAGAGCTGATCAAGACGATGCTGATTTAGTATTGAGTTACTGGTTACCGATTGAGTTCCCAACTAATGTGTACAGAGGTAAGACTAAACGACAATCAGCTCAAGCTATGTTTTAAACTGAAATTTCTAAAAGTGACAGCGAGGTGGTGCATTGGTGCAAGATTGTGAAGTGACTGATTGATTTTCTAGAAAAACTGTGTTGCCTTTGTACAAAAACAGAAGTTGCTGGAAAAGCTCAGCAGATCTGGCAGAATCTGTGAAGAAAAAAAAATCAGCGTTAACGTTTCGGGTCCGGTGACCCTTCCTCAGAACAGTGCATTGTGGTCATGTGTATGTGTTGGTTCCCTCTCTGAAGCAGAGGAATTTGTGCAATATCACAGTTGTGGTCTCCCTGCTGAGCTGTTAACTCAAGTGAGGCTCAAAGTAGTGAGAGTAGTGGTATTTCCTCTGTAGAAAAATAATCTTCACACAGCATTAAACTTCAATCAGCTTAAGGCCTACACAACCCAAGTTACTTCGTTACTGCAACATCATAATTTCACGCATGCACACAAAAGAACTTAAATGCAATTTTGAAATCCACATCTTGGATTTCATTTCAGTTACTGAAAGCATTCAAGGTATTCTGTCTATCTGGTCTCTCTCAAAAGTCTTGTCAAACAAATTCAGGCATATGATATCAGAAAAATGTAGAAAACTTTGGTAGAGAAAGAAAGAACTCAACTAACTTTTATTTGTACAGCACTGTTCAAGAACTCAGATGTTCCAAAGGGTTGTACAGCTAATGAAGTACCTCTGAAGTGTAGACTTTGTTAAATAAGAAGCTAAGAGTTGAGAAGAATGAATGTTGTGTTCAAAAACAAGTTGGAAGAGATGCATCCCTTGGGTTAGTGCTTTGTTCTCAACTGATGGATTTTCTGGTCTTGGGTATAAGGAACACAGTCTCAAAATTTACTCTTGCTACAAAAGCAGGAGGAGAAGAGAGACATTAAAGAATTAATCAACATAGGCAGGTTAGCAGAATAGATAAAACAAAAACTGGCACATTCAACTTCATGTGAATAAGTGAGAGGCGATATGCAAGAGATGGAAAGCAAGGATGGGGAGTACACACTGAAAGACACTAAAGGATGCAAATGGCCTCGGATTCAACAAATAATTTCTTAAACTCACAAGTACAGATAAATAAAGTCATAACAGGCCAGTAGCGTTCTAAATTTTTATGAATAGGGGCATGGAATACAACTGTAAAGAAATAACAGAACACTTATACAAAGCTGTTGTTAAAGCTGATTGTATGATTCTTGATGGTCAGACAGCCTTTTACCACATTTAGTATTCAATAACTAAATCAAAAAGTCAGTTCAAGCAAAATAAACCACAGCTTTAAAAAAAACTATCTGCCCCCTGCTGGTTTGCTCACCGCAGTGCCCTGGAGATTATTTCTTGGAACATCCAACCAGTACAGTTGGTGATGGGTGGCAATCCACAGCTGGGCTGGTTCCCTCATGCGGACAATTTGTCTCTTAAAACCTCTGCCTCTTGTTGTAGAACCTATGCCTGGTAGACATTTGTGCTGATAGTTTGAAAAGGAACACCCCTTCAACCTTTTGCTATTCATAATGCAGAGGTCAGCAACAACAAAGTGGTTGCTGTTATTTCAATGTGGCATTACAATTCATGTTCACTCCTCACTCTCAATCTTATCACCTCTGATCTCGCAGAGAGAAAAGTGATGAATTAAAAAAACAATTTTATCTCTTTTGACGTGTGTTTGACACGTATCCATTGGGAACAAGAAAGCAACATAATGTCCCTGAGGAACCTATCAGTTGAAGGTAGAAAAGCAGGTTCTTATCCCAGTTATCTTTGGAGTTGTAGGCAGAAGGGATGAGGATGGTGATTTCTGAGTGATCTAAAATACAGCAGTATTATCAAAGGTGAAATGTGCTGCGATCACTACGGTTCAGCCATGCCCTTTTATGTATAATCCTTAGCCTTCATCATTCTGTTCTAGAGCTCAGCAGCTACTCCTGGTGAAGATTCAGAGATTGATGTACCGTGGCAACAGAGATGAGACAGACAATCAATATAGCACACTCCGAGGATTATGGGTCTGACTTTCTATCACTTTGAATAATTTATACTTTTAATACAATCAATTTTCATTAAAGGACTAACTTATTTTGCCTCAAACTTATGCTATTTATCTAAAATGTCGCAAGGGAGAAATTGTATACATTTTAATAAAATATTTGATATGCATTGGACTACAGTGAGGCAATGCATTCAAATCTTCTCATTTCTTGTTTTAATTTCATATGTTTAAAATTTTGTATGATTTGTAAGTGTACGCTTTGAGAGAATGACCATCAGTGTAATTGAGCTCAGGAAAGCTGTTTTCTTTCCCTTGAAATCAGGTACAATCAAACTCATTGAGTAATGCAAATATTTTCATTATTCAGTGACGTGTCACAAGGGAATAAGAATTTAGGGCCTTGTTTTTGATGGATCAAATCAGCTAATTTGAATATTCCCCTTCCTATTGTGAGAATACCCCTGATATCCAGTACCCTCAGTGCACAGAAAACTTTGTCAGGTTTCTTCTTAATCATGAAAGCCTTAGTTACATTACATTGAAGACTATTCTGCTTCCAAAACAAAAAGATCAAACCACACTTCTTGAAAACACTTCCCAATGTAAAGTCTTGAGATACCAAAATATACAAAATAAAATGTCGCTAATAAAAGTAACACTTGACTAAAATTCTTCACTGTCAAGGTGCAGTGACACTGCTGGAGACATCAGGGAGACTGGTACTGGCAATGAGAGAGTTAACAAGCCTGCATCCTTCAATATGTTGTTTAACTGATTTGAATGGCATGGGCACAAAATGGAAAATGTTTTTGAATTGTCAATAATTGATGACTTAATGTATATTATCATTTTCTCAGGATTCATTAAGTAAGGAATTCACTGTGTTGTGGTGGTGTGCATTTATATCCCTTGTAGATATTTACAAGTTTTGCGACAACCAATTAAATAAGATATTGAATTTTTACCAAAATATTCAAATTTATAATGGGTTTCAATACAGCTGTGGACATGTAATGGTGCATGCAGAATAATATATTGGTAGGAGAGAACTACAAGATACTTAGAAAATCGAAGGATAGAAATAATACTATAAACCAAGAAAGCAAAATTAGTTTAACTTGTCTAGTGAAGCAAGGAAATGATGCTATTTATTTAAGCCACTGCAGAACTTCTAGGAAACAACTGACTAGATACCATGTGTAAGAGCTTAGCCTGTTCAATTAATTAGCCCAGCCAATGCTGTCTGTGCTTTCCTCTCTTTCAGAATTTTTTACAACCTGAAGAACAGCCCTCTATTGATCCCAAAGCTCCCCGTCTCTCAAGAGCGAGCATTTTCTTCGGTCAGATTTTACAGGTGATTCCTCGTGCACTGGAGAAGCATCGGCCATTATGTAGAATTTGTAGTATAGAAATATGCCATTTAGCCCAATTGATGTTTTTCTTAATTCTTTTGTGGGATGTGGCTGCCACTAGCCAGGTCAGCATTTGTTCTTCATCTCTAAATGCCCTTGAGAACATCTATAACTACGTTTACAGGGAGATTGTGGCATGACCGTAATGTCACTGGAGTAGTAATCCATATATCTAGGCAAATGCCTTGGGGGACACTTATTCGTCACACTACGACAGCTGGTGGAATTTAATTCACCGGAAAGTGAAGCTCATCTTAATATTAATGACCATGACTGTGATTATGATTGTGTTAAAAACTCGTCTGTTTGCTGATGTCCTCCAGGGAGGGAAATCTGCTGTCCTGACCTGGTCAAGCCTACATGCGATCCACAGACCTTACATGGCCAGCAGGTCACTTAGTTTCAAGTGCGACTTGTTGGCCCTGAAGGGAACCCCTACATCCTATGACTAAATAGAAAAAGAATGCTGGTGTTATGCCTCATACTTTTCCTACCCCTCTTTTTCTAACCCTGTTAACATAACCTTCTATTCCTTTATCCCTCATGTGCTTATTCAGCTTGCCCTTAAATCCATTAATGGTCATCATATCAACTTGTCCCTGTGGTACCATTTCACATTCTAACTATTATCTGGCTAAATGATTCCTTTGAACTTCTTATTGATGACTGACATATTAATGACCCTAGCTTTTATTAACCTGCCCCACCCAACCCCAACCACACACACAAGCATATTCTCTATATCTACTTTATCAAATGATATAATAATCTTAAAAACCTTGCCACTAATATCCATTACAAACCCACTGACTCCCACAGCTACCTGGACTATACATCCTCCCACCCCACTTCCTGTAAAGACTCCATCCCATTCTCTCAGTTCCTCCGTCTCCGTGGCATATGTTCAGATGAGGCCAACTTCGACAAGGGAGCCTCTGAAATGTCCACCTTCTTCCTCAACCGAGGATTCCCCAGCTCCGTTGTCAACAGGGCCCTCAACCAGGTCCGACCCATCTCCCGCACTTCCACCCTCACCCCTTCTCTTCCCTCCCGCAACAGCGACAGGGTTCCCCTTATCCTCACCAGCATCCACATCCAGAAGATCATCAGACACCATTTCCACCACCTTCAGCAAGATGCCACCACCAGACACATATTCCCCTCCCCTCCCTTGTCCGCCTTCCGCAGGGACCGTTCCCTCCGAGACACCCTGGTTCACACTTCCATCACCCCCCAACACCTCCCTACGGCACCTTCCCCTGTAACAGGCGAAGGCGCAACACCTGCGCACTTACCTCCTCCTTTCCCAGAATCCAAGGGCCCAAACATACCTTTCAAGTGAAGCAACACTTCACCTGCACTTCCAAGAATCTAGTCTACTGCATTTGCTGTTCACAATGTGATCTCCTCTACATGGGGAAACGAAGTGTAGACTTGGCGATCGCTTCGCAGAACACCTACGCTCTGCTCGCAAAAAAGACCCTGAACTACCTGTTGTCTGCCACTTCAATGCAGCACCTTGCTTGCTGGACAACATCTCTGTCTCTGGCTTGCTACAGTGTTCCAGTGAAGCCCAACGCAAGCTGGAGGAACAACACCTCATTTTCTGCTTGGGGACCCTACAGCCCTCCGGACTCAATATTGAGTTCAATAGTTTTAGGGCCTAAACTCTTCCATGTCCCAGCCCCCCCACCGCACACACCAGGCCTTGTTACCACATAGCTTGCCACAACACACCCCCTGTTGTTAGTCACTAACAGTCCCCATTAACAACTACTCACCCTCCCAGCCTGATCGTTAGCAACTCTTTTGTCTGTCCAACTGTCTTTCTCTCTCTTTGGGCGCTATCCTATCATTTACTACCTACCCCACCCACCTCCCTATTTTCTGCATATAAACTGACGTTTTCCCAGCCACCATCAGTTCTGAGGAAGGGTCACCTGACCCAAAACGTTAACTCTGTTTTCTCCTTCACAGATGCTGCCAGACCTGCTGAGCTTTTCCAGCAACTTTGTTTTTGATCTTAAAAACCTATATTGTCATGCCTCAGTCTTGACTCCTCATAATAGAACCCCAATCTATACTAATGGCTTTAGCCTCTTAAGTTCTGGTTTGAACTTTTTAATCAGTTGTATATGTGCCAGAAAGATATTTAGCAAAAGTAAACAAAGTCTTCTGCACCTTATACGCTCTGTGTAGTACATTGTGGGCCTAGATTAATAATTAACACGTACCTACAATAAATTCCACCAGAAACCGTGCAGGAACTGATGAAGCCATTGAGTTCCAGGAAATTACTCTGCCTTTTAAGCAGATTATTGCTGAATTGTACCTAAATTCCATTTATCCACCATAGCTCCATATACCTTTTTTATATCTTTTTTTAACCCATGAGACTGCTGTAGTTTCTTGTCCCTTCTTAAAGAAGGAGTAAACGTTAAATGGTTCAAACTATTACATTCCGGGAAGAAGTAATAATCAGTTATATTTATGAGTAAAATAATCCTGAAGTAATGAGTCACAGGATGTTACTGCTGTTGGAAATACTTAGGAACACTAAAGATGAAATCCCATCGCAATGGATTAAAATACCTTCTTTAGTAGGAATCTTTTTCACCACTTAATTAAACAACAAGGTTTTTGGATAAAAATGTGAGGATCTTCATTGATATAGTAACTGTATCTGGTTAATGCAGAGTTCATGTGTACCAGAAGGAGCTTAACTGATAATTACATTCACCCAGAACTAAGCACAAGGGAAATCTCAAGGATTTAAGTAAAAGTCTCTGAACGAAGAGCTGTGAATCAATCAAAATCAACAACTTTACAGTTTATGAAGAATTCCACAAATAGATATCCAAACCTTGCACATCTAATAATGCTTTAACTGAATATTATTTGATTGAAACACAAGACAAAGTTTCTGCATTTTGACTATTTTGCTGTTCAAACAATCTTTCCTCGACCAAAAATCATTTTCCCTTTTACACATAGTTAGCATACATAGAATTTACACACACAAATAGGTTGTTCAGCCTGAAAAGTCAATGACATTATAAATGTCATTGACAGTGTCTTCCATTTTACTTCATTTTGTCTTCTAGGCAAATGTTTGTATTTCTTGCAATCTCAAGTACTTATTTAGTTTCCCTGTAAATAAATACATACGTACACATATGCTGTTTACCTGTTTGAAGAGGTTAATTTCTTCGATTCATTATTGACTGACTTTTTACCTTTCCTGTAAATTATAACTCCATTTGGACAAGGGAAGTCAGTTGGTTGTTAGTTCTGGATATCTCAGAACGGTGATGGCATCAAGTAGAAATATTTTCTATCTTTGATTTGAGATGAAACTGCTTTTGTCACAAACATGCAAAGCACATCTGTTGATATCTGGTACAAGAGCCCTAGATGCCAATAACTTTTAAGAAGATAGCCAAACCTCCAACTTCTAACTGAAAGAATGGCAAGGTAAGTTTTCACCTCTTGAAGCTTTTACCATAACGAATGATTACAGACACTTGACTAAACACTATGTTAGTTTTGTAGGCAACTATACAGCAATGCTACGGCATGCGCTAATCATTATATTCAACAGACAATGAAGTTGCAAGCGCCTTTTTCATTGTTTCAAATGCAAAATTTACAGTGCTGAGGATTTAAATAACCTGACAGCTTTACAGTTCCACAGACCCACTTATTCATCATTGTAAGGTTTGGACCAGAGTTAGGTCCACTTAAAAATTCATTTGATCTAACTCGTAAAGATGCTGAGGCTTCTGTATTTCGAATAGTAATGATTTCGTTAATAGCCGCTAACTATATACATGAAATACTTGCATCACATCTGTCTCCAAGGAAGTCTAGGCAAAAGAGTTCCTACCATGTGATCTCTGACATCAGTGATGGCACTTGCATTCTAACATTTTCAAAACTTCTCATACTTCCTGCCCCTTATCCACAAAATCTTGTCTTAATCATTATTTTACACATTTTGATTTTTGTACTTAAATACAATCCCATCTCACTCAATCTCTGATTCCACTGACTTATTTGTCAGGAGGTTTCACAACTCTCCCTGCTCGTGTTTTTGTCAGACTTGAATAATCAGCAGTTTTTTTTTATATAACTCTTCCTTTTTCACTTTGACAGTTTTCATTGAGGTCTGTGTTACACATGCCTTCCACTTTTATTTTTAGTTTCAACATCTGGTTCATCTGAATAGATACTTCTTTGTTGTCTTTGATATCTTGAAATAAGATTTCTCTTCTTTCTTATAGTATGTTCTGGCATGAGTATTAGATAAGATCTCTGTTGGTTTATGTCACTCTGGACAATTGCTCCTTCTCTATTTTGATCAATTCTCTTCAACTTTTATTAGGTTTGACAGGTTCCTATTATGGTATTTCCTATCTTAGTTTTTCACTTGTGGTTTCCTGTAAGATTTCTCTCTGTCCTACATTATTTAATATTCCGAGACATTTAGCCTTAGGTATAATTTCTTGTTAGGATAGCAAGTTGAGTTTTGAGTTTCCTTTCTAACAATAGCTGTAATGGTGCTAATCTACATTGCATTGGAAGCGGTCTTATTGTTTTAAAGTGCTGCTTGGAAATCTGCATTTTGTTTTCAGAGTGTTTTGATCATTCTAACTCCTCATTCTAGTTGTCCATGACACCAAGGATATCTGGGAGAACTTGAATGATGTTTGTTTCGGTAGTCATCATACGAATAATTGCTTAACTTTGATTCATCTGGAAAGGTAACCTATGACAATCAAGTATGACTTGCCATTGAAGAAGAATAAATCCTAGATATGCCCATGGCCTGGTTGGAAATTTTAGTGGTTTTCTCCGTTCTGGTTTGTATATTGTGCATATCTCGCAATTTTAAATAATTTCTTCCGTGCCTTTTGAAATTTTCAGCTGATATTGATATTGA